AAATTTTAAAAATGAATGGTACAAAAGAGCATCACTTTCACAGGCTCTTTTATTGCAATAGATGTGATTTGCCAGTAAATATGAACAGAAAATGGCATTGCCTTAGATTTGAGTTTGAAGAAAGAGAAGAGGCCTACATTGACACAATAACGGGTGTTTTGTGTTGGGAAAAGTAAAAAAAAAGACATGTGACCGTTTGTTTTGTTTTAACAAGAGTTTTGCGGCACTTGCAACACAATTAGGTCAGACAGTATAAGTTAAGTGCCGAAGAGAGTAACAAACACAAAAAAAGGAGAGAGAGAGAGAGAGAGAGAGAGAGAGAGAGAGCGAGAGCGAGAGAGAGAGCGAAAGAGAGACAGAGAGAGAGAGAGAGAGGGAGAGAGAGAGAGAGAGAGGGAGAGAGAGAGAGCGAGCGAAAGAGAGAGAGAGCGAGAGCGAGAGAGAGAGAGAGCGAGGGCGAGAGAGAGAGAGAGAGAGCGAGCGAAAGAGAGAGAGAGCGAGAGAGAGAGAGAGCGAGAGAGAGAGAGAGAGAGAGATTTGATAGGAAAGAATGAGCAACTACCCGCTCACACTATAGTTCAGACAGAAAATCAAAACGGGTAAGGTAAAAAGGTAAGACCCCGGTACCAGTGTTGCCATCCCTTCATTGACATCACCATGATATTATCGTGAAAGCAGAAACGAAGCACCATATCAACTTTTTTGTGTGAAAGCATTTAATGTTGACCACCACAGGAGGATGTCATAATCATACAATCAATTCACAAAGTCACGCCACTTGGCCATTATACATAAATTTTATATTATAATTTGACACAAGATACGTTTATAATAATATATATTGCCCACTTTTAATTCATTCCCTCAATGACAGGATATTATGATCAATATATAAGCTGTTATAGTAACAAATAATATACACAGTATTACTATGCATACATAGAACACACAGCATTTGGCGTGCAGACTTTGTTCACATACATGTAGCAACAGGAATGTTAGTTCTGGCTTAAATATTGAGGTATAGGAAGGACTCTTCATATCAGCACATGTTTTCAAAATCCAAAGGGCAAAGGGGGTTGACGGTGAATTATTGAGGGTTTTTTTTTGGGGGGGGGGGGGGGGGGGGGGGTAGGAGGGATTTCTGAAATTCAGCCACCTGCTCAAGCACTGTACAAAAATGAGCTAAATGACATTTTTCTCCGTGGTACAATCCGCACAATTAAGTCAGTTTAGTACTTTTTAAAGCCATTAATTACAGGCTGCAGCTCAGTGACTCGTAGGCCTTAAACATTCAATTATTATCGAATGTTACGGTTATAAAACAAGAAACTTTATTAACTTTATTAAATGCATTTACCCGTCCTTTAAAAATGAAAACAAAAATTACAATTTGTCGATTGCTATTCCTACTGTCCGCGAGTGCTACATAACTTTCTGAGGTTGAAATAGGCCAAGATCATCATTGTAGTGTATCTCTTCGCCATCCTCCAGTCACAGGTTTCTGGTTACGAGAAAAAATAGCCATCTCCCATAGGATCCTGGGTTTTAATATATATATATTTTTTAGTTTAGCAAATTTAATCGTCACTAAAATTAAATTTCATTACTAGCGTCTGTGGTGTAGCGGTTAGGCGCTTCACTGTCGCATGAAAGAGACCCAAATTCGATTCCCCAGTGAGGGGAAAATTCATTAGAGTATTTCGGTCTTTCTTCTGGGATGTATCCCTCTCAACCCGGATTGGTCCAGATAGGCAGGGTGAGAAGACTGCCTACTACCCATAGATATATGTAAACCCCTACTCCCTATTCACCTAACTGATCTAATTGTGTCGATAGGGGCTTAGAAACCGCCTACATTAAAATATTTTTTATAGTATAGCTTTTTTAAAATGCATTATAATATAATTAGATCTATAATCAAATCAAGAAGTAGGGTCTATCAGTCAGAACTATCACCCATCATCCTTGGCATGAAAAAAAAAAAGAGCACTTTCATAAAGGGACAAAACTGCAGTTCCTCCTTTTTCCCACCAATGATTTTATAAGTTATGTCCCTGGAATCGTTAAGCAGTAGTTGCAGTTACGCTAGCCTCTGTATCCTGTCCACACTGGTAGGTGAATGGTCTCTTTGTCTTACTGTAGTATTATTACACATACAGTTGGAACTGACAGTCTTTGGTCTTCAGTCGGCATTAAGTAATCGACCTCACCACGTAATAAGGAAATTAACTGAAAATTGTCAATTAATCCTGCAGTACGCCAATAAAATTAGTCTGGCACAGTCTGATTTTTGTTGCAACGGGGAGGCCTTCCGCCCGCAGATACATGTAATGAAATTCTGGTTTACAAACTTGTCGAAAACTCTGTCATACAGCAAACATAATTTCAGATTCCGAAGCACTGTATCAAAATTAGACTAATGACTCTAGCGTGATTTCTTTCTTTTTCTTGCTGTAGTTTGAAAATGAAAATCACGAAAAAGTAGGCCTACAGTATAACACGGATAGGTCAAACACAGAAGACTCAAAATCACGCATGGCATCCGTCGAACTGTGCCTGTGGCCCCGTTTTTTCCCCTTCTTTATCTTTGTAAGATATTCCTCGGACTACGTACGGATGCCTCAAACTTCCGAGGCCGCTCCCG